CACCTTTTATTAAATAGGGAATCCATTCCCCATTGCTTGTTTTTGTCCGGTTTGTCGAAGATCAGATGTGTAGATGTGTGATCATTTCTGAGTTCTCTACTCTCTTCCATTGGTCTATGTGTCTGTTTTTGTACCAGTATTATGCTGTTTTGGTTATTGTAGCCTTATAGTATAGTTTGAAGTCCAGTAGCATGATGCCTCCAGCTTTGTTCTTTTTGCTTATGATTGTCTTAGCTATTTGGACTCTTTTTTGGTTCCATATGAATTTTAAAATAGTTTTTCCTAATTCTGTGAAGAATGTCAATGGTAATTTAATGGGAATAGCATTGACTCTATAAATTACTATGTTCTATATGGCCATTTTCATGATATTGATTCTTCCTATCCATGAGGATTAAATCTTTTTCCATTTGTTTGTGTCCTCTCTGGTTTCCTTGAGCAGTGGTTTGTAGTTATTCTTGAAGAAGTCCTTCACTTCCTTTGTTAGCTATGTTCCTATGCATTTTATTCTCTTTGTAGCATTTGTGAATGGGAGTTCATTCATGATTTTGCTCTCTGCTTGCCTGTTGTTTATGTATTGAAATGCTTGTGACTTCTGTACTTTGATTTTGTATCCTGAGATTTTGCTGAAGCTGCTTATCAGTTTAAGAAGCTTTTGAGCTGAGACAATGGGATTTTCTAGATATAGGATTATGTCATCTGCGAACAAAGACAATCTGACTTTCTCCCTTCCTATTTGAATACCTTTTATTTCTTTCTCCTGCCTGATTGCTCTGGCCAGAACTTCCAATAGTAATGTTGAATAGGAGTAATGAGAGAGTGCATCCTTGTCTTGTGTTCATTTTCAAGGGGAATGCTTCTAACTTTTGCCCATTCAGTATGATATTGGCTGTGGGTTTGTCATAAATAGCTCTTATTATTTTGAGGTATGTTCCTCAATATCTAGTTTATTGAGAGATTTTAACATGATGTTGGATTTTATTGGAGGCCTTCTCTGCATCTATTGAGATAATCATGTGGTTTTTGTCTTTAGATCTGTTAATGTGATGAATTATGTTTTTTGATTTGCATACGTTGAACCAGCCTTGCCTCCCGGGAGTGAAGCCAACTTGATCATGGTGGATAAGCTTTTTGATGTGTTGCTGGATTCAGTTTGCCAGTATTTTATTGAGACATATTTGGATTTAATTTGTTAATATATTGTGAAAAGTTTTCTTTCATGTACAGCCATAAAAGATACTGCAAAGATGCATTTGACAGATTTTGGCATTAGGGTTTTGCTGGGTTTATAAAAGTGTTGTGAAGTGTTTCTTCCTCTTCTATTTTCTGAAAAAGTTTATGTAAGATTGATAGTCTTTTTTCCTTAATTTTAAAATGGAATTCATGAAGAAATAATTTGCGTCTGGAGTTTCCTTTGAGAGAGGGTTTTTGATAAAAAATTTAGCTTCCTTCATTTGAAGTTCTTTACATTTCTTATTTCATTTTGAATCATTTTGGTAGGTGGTGTTATTCAAGTAATTTCATTCCATCTAAGTTGAATAATGTATTGCATATACTTACAATATTCTGTCACTATTTTAATGTCTTTTGTATCTATAGACATATGATTTCCTTCATCATTGATATGGTAATTTGTGTCTTTCACCTTTTTGTCTTGATTGCTATGGGTTAATCAATTTCATCAGTTGATTAAATCATGACCATATTTTCCTCCAAATTCTTGAACATATTTCTATAATAACTGCTCAAAAATTCTCATTTGAAATGTCCAACATTTGTGTTATTTCAGGGTTGGATTTTAGTTTTTATTGTTTATTTTTTCCCCATGTGTAACATTTCCTAGTTCTTCCCATGTCTAATATATTTTTCATTTCAAGATCGAAATTGTAGATGCTACATTGTTGACACTCTAGAGATACATATCTCTCCACAGACACATATATCTACAGATTTTATATATATGTATATATTTATATATGCATATATTTGCTTTTATTTAGAGAGTGCTGAGATATTTTTCTTCAAAAGGCAGTGAACTTATTGGCAGATCAACGAGATCATTTTGAGACTTGCTGAGCTTTGTTAGGGCAGTTCTGGAGTGGTTCACTCTAGGACTTTGGTAGTCCTTCTCTTGAGATGTGACCCCTATGTGGCGCCAGCTGCATTCCCAGGGGTTTCAGCAAG